ATTTTATTCCTTTCAATAAATCCCGATTTTATTCCTTTTGCTCTGTCCGGTCTCTGTTCCAGCTCAGCCTTTCCAGGCAACACCTGGAGGTGAGTTCTGAGTGCTGAGGGTGAATGGACAAGCGGGGAGTCCCCAGGGGGGTGACAGTCACCACTGGTGGGGAGCAAAGGGGCTTTGCAGAACTCCAGGGCTGGGTTCGAGGAGGAGCCACCGCCTCTCCGGTGACACCCGCGGTGTCCCCGTGCCCCAGCTGCGGGTGTCGGTGTCGGGATGTGCGCAGTGACAGGGCGCACATCGAGTTCCATTTCATTTCTCTTCTCTCTTGCACTCAAATTACCCCAGGGCACGGCGAGAGCCAGGAAGGGGAAGCCGCGAACAGACCCGGCCAATTAGCACTGATGAAGGAAACCCGGTCAACCGCGTTAATTAGCGGGGACAGGCGGGATGGAGGGACGTGCTCAGCGCAGCGTGGCGAGCTGGGGGAATTCCCGAGCTCAGGCGGTGCCACGGAGGAGGGATGGAACAGAAACAGAGACAGAGTCACAGTGCTGACAAAAGGGACACGAGCAGAGTGGCAGGACAGAGCCCCCGGCAGCGCTGGGGACATCGCGGGGTTCGTGGTGCCACTCCCGGGAACGGTGACCTGGCCTTGGGAAGGAGGTTCTGGATGTGGGATGGGAGTGAGGGAGAGGGGTGGGAGGTTTTTCACTCTCAGAGGGGCTCTGGAGTGGGGCTGTGGCTTACGGGCTCTGTGCCCCATGCTGGCTGTGGGGGATGAGTGTCCTTGTCCCCCTCAGAGCAGGAGGGGATTCACCAGCAGACCCTGAGGTGCTCAGCCAGTTCCAGATGGGGTCAGGGTGTCCGTGCTGGGCTGCTCTGAACATCCTCCAGCACGGCTCGCATTCTCCTCCACCCTGGTGCCCTCCTGCTGCTGCTTCTCCCCCTCCTCCATCCCCTTTTGAATCACGCTTTTAAAAAGTTCGAATTTTTGCTAAGGGTAGAAGTAGTTTCCATGACCAAGATGTAAGTTAGGTAGGTAAATGGTAGGTTAATAATTACTAGATGCTTAGGCTAGAGCTAATTGGTATAATTATCTGCTATTATAAATTTACGTACAGAAGAACGTAAAATAAGTAAACTGTTAACCGTGAAGCACGGGGCCTTGGATTGTACCAGGGGGTCACCGAGACCTGATGAAGACTCTCCTGACTTCATCCTTCGAGACCACTGACCCATTTCGAGACCACTGACCCAATTCAAGAGAAGAGCTGCGCACGCGTGAAGGACTAATGGGCTCATTTTTATATGGGGTGTGGATGGGAGGTGCTGGGGTTATGCAGATGTATTGTATGTAAGATCTTGGGGAATAAACAGAGGGCAAAGAACCTTGTTTGGGGTGGTCACGCCTTTCGGAGGTGACTCCCGTGCCACCCGCCGGTGAATAAACACACCACTTTCTAATTTTAATTAGTTAGAGGGTCTTTGTCCGTGATTATACCGGGTTTTTTTAATGATTCACTTTCCCCACCGCTGGGATGAGCTCAGCGCCTCTCCCTCCCCTCCCTGTCACTGTCCCCTGGTACAACCACGGCGTGGGACC